AATAATGATAATAATATTTTAAAAGAATTCGAAAACAATGAAATGTCGCCACTCTATAATACTGGTTGGTCTTGGGTGATTTTTTTCATTTTCTTACAGGTACTATAGAATATACACAGAGTATACCTAGAAAATGTTATAGTTGCCCAATTTATTACCCAATTCTTTTGGTTTTGTCAACACAGGTTTTCTCCTGATTAGAATCCCTCATCTATAACAAAATATTGAACAGTACTAAAGCTTTCGGTGCTTACATTGCTTATTTATTATTGATGATGTTTTTAGGCTTGAACATTTTTAAATATATAAGTATTATAACTAAAGCAACAATAAACACAGCGGCAGAAATTTTACGATAATCATTCTCAACATTCTGTGACGCATTTAAGTAGTTTCCATGAGATCTAGAAACATATATGTCTTCAATTTCATTAAAATCTGGAATTAAATAGAATTCTTTCAGTACTGCGATCGGATATCATATACCGTTCGCAATAATTAATTTTATTACCTGGAATATTTAATGATTTCGAAGTATCTAATGTGTTGGTAGAGTTTAAAGGTAGGCTTTTCGAGAAGCGAATTTTGCGACATTTCTCCAGGGAGCGCTTCTTTAATTGATCGTTAAAGTCTACAACTTTGGAAAATTTAAATAAATTAGATGTTGCAAGTCTTCTTGGATGAAATTTATTTTGCAACGTCGCATATTGCTTAATTCTGTTTAGCTTTTGTAACGACAACGCTTTATGTGAATTAATCGTGTACTCCAGAAATGCATTTAACAGCCAAAGACATGATTTTTCCGTATTTATAGAGTCGATGCAATTCGAATCACCCATAATGGCTAGTCGACCCAACTCATTTTTAGATTTATCTCCCACTATTGCTGATATTTGGTTTTTATTTAATTCAAACGTAGCGGAATTATGTACAGGAGAACGATGTTGTAATAGCATACGTTTATTTAAGATTGGATTCTTTTCATTTGATTTCGATGAGTTCAGTTGCTCATTAGTGTAGTCAAAATTATCAGTTTCAAATACTTTAGGTAAAACTACAACTTTTTTATCAGCCGGACGCATTTGAAACAATCCAATAATAGGTTGAAGAGTTTTAGTTGATCCACTTTGCTTTTCGATATTAATTATCTTGTAAAAATACAAAAGTAAATAAAATTTATTTGTCTAGGAGAAAATTTTTGTTTCTTCCACTCATCCGTGGTAAATACATATCCAGTCCATCAGACCTATCTGCATGTAAAATATTCCAATGTTTTTGACAAATTTGATATCGAAAGCTTTATTGTTGCGACCAGAAGTATGTTCACCACAGACATTACAGAAAGACCGGCAGACAGACGGATATGCTTAATCGGTTTGAAATTTGACGCTGACCAATAATATGTATGTTATTGGCGTCTATGAAACTTTCTTCTGGGTGTTGCAAACTTTTTGAGGAAAAATTAATATATCCCTATCCTTCGGTAGTGAGTGTAAAAGTAAATATAGCCATCTAACGTTGAAAAGTGCAACTGCACTCTGTGGTTCTACTTTAAAGGGTCTATATTTTCTATTATTTCTTTTTGTATAAAAGTGTTTGACCCGGGTCCAGTTGGAGAGTTTAAAATCGCAGAAGAATTAATTATAGGCAAACTATTGAATCGAATTAAATGATTTTCGAAATTGACTTGACAGGAATCTTTTGAACAAAATTCTTTCCTAATCTTGAGATCAAGAAGCATTCTACCACTAAATCGATTTTATTTCCTATACTATTTATACATTATGCAGCCTTCGACCCCCTCATCTATACTAATATATTGAGTTTCGATAGTTATAATATGAATGTATTACTTTCAAATGTTTTATTACACACCTCAGATCCTTGGTCATTTAAATAAGCTGATATTATAACATTATCTTCATGATTTGGAAATGCAGCTAAAGTTGTACCGCTTGCATAATACATGCTGTGTTCGCCCATACGATAGTAGCCTTCGGCTACCAAATCACTGAAGGCAATACCAAAAGTTTGCAAGAGCTCATTTAAAGCTGGTATATTGGCGCCACCTGTATCCGGAACCCACCACTGACGTGTATTTTCATCAAAAAATGTTATCTTCCTCATCACGGTAGTGTTATACCAGTCGGCAAATACAATAACTCCCAGGCTTAAATCGAAGACATCTTTTTGTAGTTTAATTATCTCGTCATCAAAAAACTCTTCTTCGGGATCAACAATTAAAAGAGCTCCATAATCGGACGCATTGAAACAGGTGAAAGGCTCTCTTAATACTTCAACATAATAACCTAAATTCCGCAAATGTTGATACATATCCCGAAAATTTGTATGAATGTGATCACCTCTCCAATCTAACGGATCAGATTTGATTTTTAAATTATCACGCGGTATATAACCAGGCGGGTAACGCAAATTGTGATATTGATCCCATAAAACGCGCTTATGTCTTGGAGGTTTCGGCATAATCTTTACGGTGATTGGAAAGTGTATTGTGGAGTTAACGGTGTTGTCTTCGAAATTTATCGATTGTATTTGCAAGCTTATATGGCCTTTTGAAATACCTTCAAAAAAGCAGGCATCGTTTTTAACAGCTAGAAAAAAAAAAGTGTAAACACGATAAATCTTGAGCAGCACACTATTTTATATTTTCATTCCTTTAGTGAGGTGATAGCGAAATTTAATTTTTATGGAACTAACATCATCGATTACTTTGCGCCAAGCGTTACTCCAGGTGATGTGAATACATATGTACAATTCTCAGATTTAGTATCATTGCATAAAGGAGCTAAGTCGACTATTCATGAAGGTTTCCTCTTTCGTTTTTTACATGCATGTTAAATTATAAGCAGGTTTGGTTTCAACCAGGATTAATTATTTATGAATACTTAACTATTTAAAAAATGTTTCTTATGAATATATACATACTTATATGAATCGACATCCAACCCGACCACGGCCATAGAAGAGATGGATATGATATTTGTACATCAATCAAATGGCCATTTTTATCTACATATGGGTACCAGAGAGGTTCAGCCATAATTTTACCGCTAACTGAGATGCCATTCAATATTGTAACGTTGACTATCGAAGGCATAGCTTGACAGTATAATGGCTGAGAACTGTAGGGCCACATATACAGCTCAGTATAGTCTATGTACGGGGGGCTGAAAGTTATTTTAGGTGAATACGAAAGCAGCAGCTCCACGCTGTTTAAGATATTCAACTTTCCATGTCCCTGTTCAAACATATTGTTATTTGGCAAACGCGTTGCACCCTCGAGAAGAATCTGTTTCACAGAAGCAGGATTGAACTGATGCGATTTGTTTAGAGCGCCACTCAATATTAGAGCAAGAGCTCCAGCAATTACTGGAGATGCTACTGAAGTGCCTGACAACGATCGACAACCACCACCCACATTACTACCTTTTACTTGACTACCATGTGTTATTATATCAGGCTTAACACGTCCATAGCCCCTCGGTATTTCCCAAGTGCTCATACCTCTCGAACTGAACTTGGCGATTTTGCCCTCACTGTTCACACCACCAACACCGATAACGTCACTTTGATCACCAGGATTATTTAAAGTGCCATATAAAGGGCCATCATTACCGATAGCGGACACCATTATCACCTTATTAGCGGATAGTTCTAGAACTTTATCTACAAAGGGATAGTCCATAAAATCAGGGCCTCCAATACTCAAATTCAAAATGTTGATTTTCCTAAACATGGCATAATTGAAAGCATCCAAAAACCAAGAGGTATACGACACCTGTAAATCAAATTTGCAATTTAATCCCATTACATCATTTGCTAACCTTCCCATGCCTATTGGAAAAATATTTACCTGACTATTGGTAAACACTCTAAATATGTGAAGCTCAACATCAGGCGCGAATCCTAAGCATTCTTTGGACGATGCGATAACACCAGCGACAAAGGTTCCATGGCTAACGCCGTCGTCAAAAAACTTTTCATTTGTCCAGTTTGTTCTTTCTTTTACATTACGGAAATGTGGATGGCTTTTAGCTAAACCCGTGTCAAACACAGCCACTTTAATACCTTTGCCGGTTATACCTTGTTGCCATAGCAAGTTTGCATTCATTGCGAACGGCAAGTCATCCTTAGGTAGGGCTCGTAGTAAATGTCTGCCCAAATAATGATTATAATAATTTGAGCTGTTTGCATTCTGGAAAGCCTTTAGTTGCCGCTGAATCCTGCGCTGCAACGAAATTGTTTTAACTGCCGGATGCGATCGAATTAAGTGAACTTTTTCGCTTGCAACTCGAACCACATCAAAATCACTTGGGTAGAATTTGGACAAATCCGAATGTTCCAATATTATCCATTCGGTTACCTATATTGTGACAATGATAAACACTTGACAAACACCACAATTGAATTCATTACATTTTCTTTAATGAAGGCTTTCTGGATATACTTCTCCCTTGAAGTCTTACGGTAGTAATTTTTAAATGTAACAATGTACTCATTTACAGTATCTTCGCTTGTATCGGTAAACTTTTTCTCGTAATCTGTTAACAAATTAAAATCAGTTTTCGAAACGAATTGCGATTCAGAATCCGAATATATTAATACACAGACTAATAAAATCACCTCGATTGTCCAAACCATAATTGTAATAAATTCACATTCCGACGTAATATTAAAAAAAAAAAACTTTGCTACGACTTCTGGTTACGCAACTCTGTTTTATAAATTGAAACGAAAGGTATGAAACATAAACTAAGGAAGTGTTAATACATACATATATATATTATAAACCATTATTAAAAATTGAGTCTTCGCTTGATTTTGTCTGGTATTTATTGAATTGAGAATTATTGCTTCGTTAACTTCGTTTACATAAACTTTGAATAATAAACAAATTTGATTTTTGATACATATTTATGCAGCTTTGCCATCAAATTTTGCATATTAGTACTGACAGTGGTTTGTAACCTCGCTCAATTTTCATAACAACTTTCTTATACGCTTGAAAGCTGTTTGGTAAATGAACTTACTGTTTTTTGAGTAATGCTGTTCCCGATGTACCACCAGAAAAGTGAAGAATTGCAAACATTTTACTAATGTTTACATTGCATTTTGGAATTTTTTACCAATTTTGCGCAATTGGGTTTGTTTGCGATACCAATTCAAAACATTTACGGTTGTATTTCTGATTTGGCAGATTTATAGTTATTTTCCGATTGTAAATTCTGATTTAACAGATTTATGGTTATTTTTCGGTTGTAATGTCTGCTTAAGAGATTTTTCGGTTGTAATTTGTGCTTTAACAAATTTACGGTTTTTCCAAAACCAATGTAATCAAAATAAAGTTGGGAGAAAATGTTCAGAAAAAGTTAAAAGGTCCAACCAGCAACCATGTCAAGTTAAATCCAAAAGGCGCATTATCTCAAGTTAAATTAATTTATTTTCAAAAATGACTTGAAATTACGTTACATAATCCGCCTTAGTAGTCGAAGGTGAGGAATTTCGACTAGCAAGTCAATGGTCGTGGGTTCGAATCTCAAGTGCGGTAGGGTTTTTAATAAAAGCCGATAGCCATAGATGCTAGTGCTTTTAAGACTTTAGTCTTAGAATTTATTTCTCTGGCGAAATTAACAATAATAATAATAATAATACGTTACATAATTCATTTGCAATTGATTGATATTCGCAAACTTGTTTCTTAATAAAAATTCCAATATCGATTACCAGTTCATGTTTACTTATAATGCAGTGCAGCTATCTCCCAAAACGTCTTTCAAGAAAAAAACTCTACACGTCCTTCTGATTAAATAATTTTATTTAGTTATTATAAATCTACAGGCTCTTTCCTTTGACATCAATTGTTGCTTGAGTTTCTAATGGCTCTATAGGTTTTGCTATTTATTTTCTGAACGTTGTCAAGTATTTTTTTCGTACACTATTTGTCGTTATAGTTTATCGTTATATTTATACTTATTGAATCATTTATATACATCACGTATACTGAAATAAGTTTTTTCCTTTTTTTATTTACAAATACTTTCATACAATCTAATTAAATGAAAATAAATGGAAAACCGATTGATTTTTGGAATTCAATAAACTGCTACTTTTTCTCGTCTTTAGGTAAAAATTCTTCAAGTTCTGAATCTTCGATTTCACACAGATGTACTGAAAGATTGCTGTTGTAATGGCTTTTATGATTGTTACATAAATATTCACTTTCAGAGTTTTCTGGAAATAGAAAATAAGAAAAGTATTCAAAAATATTAATGGAATTAGAAATAAAATTATCGTTGTGTTCTATTCTTATAGAAATTTTTATACCAATGAGGCAAAAGGGTAGAGTTATACTATTGACTTATTCTAAAACTTATTACTATCCAGAAATACACATCAAAACGAGCCCAATGAATGCTTTTGAGCAAGTCAACTTAAAACTCCGTCTATATGTCCGTTTATCATTTGTCTGCCGTTAGAACACTGGAAATCTTCTTAAAAGTGATTCACTCACAGTCCCATTCACAATAGACAATTTTGTGCAAATATTTGATAAAATCATTTTGGCGAAAGAATATTTTTGAGACGAGACTGTATTTTTTCGTTCCAACATTTTATTAAACTTGAATGTGATTTCATTCTATTAGTATATTAACAAATGAATTAAATATATTACCACTGATTTTTCTCTTAGCAGGGTCCAGTGTTGAGTTCTTCCCTTCATAAATATCATTTGCAGAACTTTCACCCTCAGTTTCACTTAGATGGTGCAATGGTGGTAAGTATGAATCAGGATGTCGTAAATACATTTTACCTGTATTATAATAAAGGAGAAAACAAACAAAAAAGGATGAACAATATAACTAAAACCATCAGCAAGAAATATGATTGCAGTGGGAATTCAACAAATAAATGAATAAAGCGTATAATTTCTAGATGAATATATCTAATTAACTAATAACATTTTATTTATAATTGCAGTCTGCAGTTCGCTTTACCCGGAGTTCCAAATTTATGAGCAAAAAACAAAAAAGCAAACTAAACTATTTTAACAAATTCAGAAAATGATTGCTACTGATTTTCGATAAATTGATGTGTATAATGAACTTGAAGCATCCATTAAATTTCTCAATTATTTGTAAGAGTGCCTGAACAAAAGCAATAAAAAAATTTATTTTTCTATAAAACATATATTTACTTACATTTTGTTACATTTTTTAAAGGCACTGTTTGCGGTCAAACAAAATCACATTACGAGTATTAAATAATGTGAATAATTATAGTGCATATGCTTTAGGTTATTGTGAAATGTCCGATTTTCTGTGATATAACTTTTAAATAAAATACTGTTCACATGGAATCTGAACTTTCTTTCCAGGCAATCACTCTAAACTCGACCATGGGTCGATTAGATAAGGTGCATTCGAACATTTAAAAATGGAAATAGAAATAATTTGTATACTATCGATGATATCTTCTCCTACGAATTGTATTAAGTAGTAGGTGCGTGAAAGAAAAATTTTAATTTTTAATCGAACATTTCATCATAGCCTGGAAGAATTTCAAATGGATTGGATTTGATATTTACCTGAATTTGATTTATAGTCTTCATTCTCACTATAGTAGATGGGACTCAGTCTTGACATTGAATTGCTGTTTAGAAGCGGCAGTTGAAATGGCTGAATGCAGTCTCGTAATTCGGAATCAACGCAATCTGTTGCTAGTTCTTCTTCCAGCGTTGCAATATCTCTTGCGGGATTAATTCGTATGGCAGTATCTAGAAAATGTTGAAATTATTCCTATCGTCTTTTTTACTGTTACGCACACACCATCAAATAGTGGTTAATGTAATTATAACTACATTTTAACAAATATTGGAAATTTTCAAATAATGAAGTGAAAGTCTGCTTACTTGGAACAACGTATGACCTAGGTTTTGACTCATTGCTATCATTACTTTGGAAGCTAGATGAATCTGCGATTTCCGCACCAGGAACTTCCGTTATATCTGGCAGTGGATTTTGACTGTTCCGCACCCAATCTGAACAGTCCCAATGATATTGGCCCAGCGAGGAATATTCTCCACCATAATTTGTTTGACACACGTTTGGCATAGCAACCTGTATCAATTTTCCGCAACTGGGTTTCAATGTTGTTAGCCTATTCAGAGGCATATTAAAGTCCATAGATTTTTCTGAAAAAAGAAAAAATAAACAAAAGAAATAAGGAAAGAGTCAACACTTAAGTCGCAATGAATCCATACGTAAAAAGATAGGAAGGAGGAATTCTTAAACAATTTAATCGATTGAGTAGTTTAGTAAAGTAGCAGTAGTTTATGATTTTTAAACAAGTAAGAACATTGTAGTTGGGAAAAGGTGACCAGTAGTCGACTTTACACTGCTTCAGCCGACACAAATCTTCGCTTATCACCATGATAAAATAACGACAACTACACTCTGTTCTCATACTTTTTTAGGAAAAAGGTCCAAAACACAAATCCGTGTGGTGTAAATTTTGCAAAATTAATTTCCTTCTCAAAGATTTTATTATTATTTATCTATTTCATGACAGAGTACTAGAAGTTAAACATTATTGCCATAGAAAGGCTGACTTTTCATGAGTATCCTTTTACGAGGTGGGTACGAAAAGTTACCTATATGGTTCAAATGCAACACAGTTAATTTCTCTATGTCAAAGTATGGACCAATCTTGATCATATAATATGAAAAAATAGGCATTTTTGTCATATCAAGGTTAATTTTTAATCAGAAGCTTTATATGGAGCGGCGTATAGAAAATAGATCTATATGATCCAAATTTAGTGCATTTGATTTTTATGTGAATTTACTATTATGGACTAGTTCTCCTTGTGATATATTAAAAATTACACCATTCTCCCAAATAAAGGCGTAGCATTTACAGAAATTCTTAAATAAGATGGGATTCAATGCTTCGGCCCATTAAATTCAAATTCTGTACATTAATTTAGTACATTGAAATTTCATTACTCAGCGATTTTTATCGCGAAATTTTGACAATTGCGATTTCTTTTTATATAATGACTTTTAAAAAAAAACGCTTTATGGGGGAAATAGTCGCAAAAATGATTCGATGCAATCTATTTTTAGTAGGCTTCTGAAATTGCAATTGGATGATCATGAAAATATATGGAGAGCTATCATACGGAGAGATAGACATACTTATATCAGTATAATAAAGCATGGATCTATTTTAAACGGCAATATAGATATAAATACGTTATATATTTCGTAACAAAAAGGAACTTACCATTATTGAGTTTATTTTCACAAAACGTCTTCAATTGCATTTGATCGCACCAGTCACGCTTGTATGAAGATGGATCACCTTCCGCCATATTTTCATTATTTAAATTTACATTTTGATTATTTAGGCTGATTTTCTGATATTCAATTGGTATATTTTCAAGTTCATCTCCCGCCGAACCATAACTTCTTAGGATGTCAAGATTGTTGACAAAATTTGAATTAGTTGAGAACATGTTATCGGTAGATGAGGGAGTATAACTTATGGGTCGGTGGTTCACCTCCAAATTACTTAACTTGGCATTCTGTTTATTGTTTTTCTCTTTTTCTAAAAGCGAGTTTAGAGTGGCTTCCCTGTAACTATTTTTAATGCGTGTTGAATTATCTCTCTTCGTTAAGTTCTTCTTGAAAAGAATACAGCACAAAATAAGTATGCAGAAGACAAACACAAAGGTTACACCCGATATAATGCCGGTGATATGTTCGATAGAAAAGTTTCTTAATTTGGTTGAAATGGAATTTGAATACAAAGGATCACCGCAACTAGCCCCCGTTAGATAGGACGGACATATGCATCGAAAGCTGCCCGCCTCATTTATGCATGTGGCGCCACTTCCACAGGGCTGATTCTCACATTCATCTACGTCAATTTCACAAGTAGGTCCTGTATAACCGCGACACATACAATGTGGAATACCATCCCCTTCTTCACATATACCACCATTTTTGCAAGGATTTGGAGTACAAAATTGTCCATATTCACAACGCTTGCCCGAAAGATGTAACGGGCATGAACAGGAATAATTACTTGGATTAAGGTATTCGCAGCGACCAGCATAAAGACACGGGGAAGATGCGCATGGGTCCAAGTCAATTTCGCATAGTTTTCCTGTAAATCGCTCGGGACAAATGCATTTGAAGTTAGTATTCCCCAAATCTTTGCATAATCCGGAATTGAGACAAGGTTGTGTTCCACAAACTCCTAAACTAACAAGCACACTCGATGGATCACATGAAAATTCCACATTTGTAAAACGTTTAAGGGCGGCAATTGTACTGCCACCTGATATGTACAAAGGCAAAGCTTCATTTGCAATGTTTATGTCCGTCATGCAACCCACAAACCCTCTCTGAATGTCTTCATATCCAATTATGGTTTGATGAGGTTTAACTTCGGCCCCCACAAAAATGTCATTCGTTTGAAGATTTAATATAACATTCACACCTGGTGCACTGCCCTGCGAAGCGTGCTTATTATCGACTAATAGTTTTGCGCTATTAAACATCCTCTCTAATGAAATATGATGCCATTCACCATCTGATATGTTCACACTTGAAACGCTGATAATACCCTCACCAGATCCTAAGTCAAAACGATACTGAGCAGCTCCATTTAAAATTTCAATAATGCTGTAATCAATTTTTCCACTCGCGTATAAAAGCGTGCCTGATTGTTGAACCGTTCGAATCCGAAAGGAAAATAAAAATTGACTCTCGACTGCATTTCTTGCCATTGATTTGTTGATCTTATAATGAGCGTAACTCTTTCCACTAAATGATACTGATGTTAATATAGTAGAGCAGCTCGTGTTGACACACTGCAGCGATTTAATTTCACAAAAGTGGCCAGTATATCCAGTAGGACAGATGCACTGATAGCCCGTGGTGGAATTAGCTGGCAAACATTGTTTCTGCAATGGACATGGATCTGATGAGCAGGCATTTATGGGTTCATCACAATTTTTGCCATCGTATCCTTGCCTGCATAGGCACACACTCACTAGTTTATAGGTGGGTGTAACAAAACTTACAACATCTGTATGATATGTAGATAGTTTGCTTTTATTAAGTACAATTTGATTTTTGCACAAGCCATGCAAACAGTGAAACGCTGTGGTGCATTCATTGGTTATTAATTTTTCAATGATAAGATTTGAACTTTCTTGGATTTGCTCAAATTTTTTGGCGAGTAAATTTCGAATGTCCTCAGAAGAAAAATATGCTTCTGATGTTGGAACAATTTGTTGTTTTCTTACTGCTAGAACAATTTCCAAATTGTTATGCGGCGAACGCGGGTTTATAGTCATTATGACATTGTTTGTAGATGGTTGTTCTCGTAACATAGTGGAATTTGAAGATATCTGAACATTCGCCAATAGAGCTTGCGGTACGTGGCCTAAAGACAGGATTACAACGTCTTTTTGTCTACAGCGCATTACATCCCTAATGGCGCGTATAAATCCTTTACGATAACTCAAAATAAAATCCTTGGGTGTAATTTTACTAATTTTAATGACAACTGCATTTTGGACCATTTCTGGTGTGATCATTTCCACATTTAGTTTAACAATAGTATGCGATAAATATTTTCCATCGGAAACGGTCACATTGATTTGATATACCCCTATATCCAAGTTTTTAATAGCAAAGAGATCTCCGTTGCTACGTGATATGTTAAAAAGCTTAAGCGGTGAGTACGTTTGGTCAACGGTTGGCATAAGCTCAAATGTAAATGTATCATACGTGTCTTGATCTGTGACATAAACCTTGCCTAAAAACCCACCGGCAAAGTCATCCTCATAGGAATTAATTGTAATTTCTAGGGGTGTTATAACAGGCGGATACTGACTCTCTTCAATTATTTGTATTGCAACCCATGTATCGGAATATAGTGGTGGGGTTCCATTGTCAAAGACACGTATTTGCAAAATGTAAAGGTCACATATACGGTGATTAAATTTAGCCGCGGTTTTCAGGCTACCGTCCTGTTCAAGACGAAAAAAGCCCCCCTCGTTACCGCTTCTAAAGTCGTACGTATATGGGCTGGTATTTGGAGGCTCATCGGCATCGTTTATTTCGAAACTTATAACTTCAAAACCTAACGCTTTGTTTTCCTGCAAGATCACGCTGTAATTCGAATTTTTAAATATTGGCGGATTATCGTTTACGTCCAAGATATCAACGTTAATTTCGATATAATTACAAAGTTCTGGAGAACCAGTATCGCAAGCGCGTATTTCTAGAACATAGGAAGAAATCGTCTCTCGATCGAGTTTATCGCGTGCATAAACGTAACCGGTAAATTCATCTATCGAAAACTGTTTCAGTCTATCACCTCGTTCAATGTTGTACTTTATAACACCATTTTGGTGGGAGTCCTCGTCAGTGGCAATAATTTGTAGAACCTTTTCTCCCTTTTTAGCATCCTCGCTGATCCGCACACGATACACATTTTGTGCGAATTGTGGTTGATTATCATTCACATCTAATATCGTTACATTTACGAAGGCTTGATTACTGAGTGGAGGAGAACCACCATCGATAGCTTGTACTGTGAGAAAGAAAGCCTTTGTCTTTTCGAAATCGATTTCGCTTGTCGTAGATATTATTCCAGTTTTTTTATCGATGGAAAATTTATTTTGCTCATTACCTCCAATGATGTAGTAGGAGATCTCAGCGTTGACACCAATATCTTTCGAGGTAGCGAACACTCTCAAAACCTCGGTATTAATGGTAGCATTTTCAGACACATACGTTTTATATTGTTTCATATTAAACTCGGGCGGATTGTCATTAATGTCCAGTACATGTATTATGAGATTTGTAGTGGAGAACATTTTCGGCTGCCCATGATCTTGTGCCATTATTGTGATATTAAACATGGAAATATTTTCTCTATCTAGAGTTTTGATTAATTTAACTATCCCGCTGGATTGACTTATGTTAAAAAAATCATTCGCTTCTGTAAAGAAGTATGAGATTTTTCGATTTTGGCCAAAATCTTTATCAGTAGCATGAATTTTTGTAACTATGGTTTGTATTTGTGCGTCTTCGGGTACGCTGGCGATATACTGTGCCATAGAAAATTCGGGTTTATTATCGTTAACGTCGTTCACTGATATAATTACTTCCGAAGTGCATTCTTGTGATAACTCTTGACCGTCTTGAACATGCGCATAGAGCAAGTATTTGGGATGGCGCTCCCTATCAATAACCCTGGCCACTTTTATTATGCCATTGTCCTTATCTACATAGAAATCATCTGAGTCGTTACCCGATAAGTAGTAACGCAGCTTATTATTAGCATAACCATCTGCATCAAGAGCGTTTACTTTAAGTAGAGAAGTGCCAATCGGCGTCATCTCATTGATAGTAATGTTATAACGTGGTGTGATGCAAATTGGGAAATTATCGTTAACATCTTTCACAGTAACTGAAACGTTCGTATATGCGACAAATTTGCCTTCGGTTGCAGCCACTGTTAAATTGTAATTTGATATGTATTCGTAATCGAGTAATTTAGATACGAAAAGGTCTCCAGTATTTCCAATTTGAAATTGGGAATGGTTATCTCCGGATAATATGAAATATTCGAAATTGTTTTTCTCAAGATCTAAATCAGTTAACCGGAAATTATATAGCACTGTACCCGGTAGAGCATTTTCAAATACATCGATCTGCTGACTTTCTTGTTGTTGTTTAAATACTGGCGGATTATCATTATAATCGGTAACCATTATTGCAACGGGGACTTTTGATATGTGCCTAGGGTGACCGTTGTCTGTTGCCCCAACATTTAAATAATACTCTGACTGCAACTCTCTATCTAATGCTGATAACAATATTATCCATCCAGAGTACAAATCAATTTCAAATAAATTCGAAAACGTTTCGTCTTCGATAACGTAACGAACATCACCATTTGGTCCTTCATCGATGTCGGTAGCTGTTACTTTAATCAGGGAAGTACCTTTATCAGCATTTTCCGGTATATTTACATTATAAACAGCGCAACCAAATTTCGGATGATGATCATTCTCGTCTTGAATGTGAAAATAAACATCGGCACGAGCATGTAGTTGCGGCAGGGTGATCGTTTCGGCCATAGCAACAATATGCTCCACACTGTTTAATTCACGGTCCAATGTTTGCAGTAAAAGTATCTCACCGTTCTCGGTAATTGAAAATTTTTTTGTCTCAGTTGCAAGATAAAGTTTAACAGAAAAATTTCCAATCGGTTTCAGCTTAACTAAAGTAGAACCTGGCGCAGTCGATTCTTCAACATTTATAATCAAAGATGATCTCTCAAAGAAAGGAACGGTTGTATTCGCGGCAACTATTTGAATCGAAACTGGTACCTTATTATTTAGCGGCGGACTTCCATTATCCGTGACTCTGACAAAAAACTGCGCAAAACTATATGAAATGTTTTCCAGCGATTTAATCAAATTCAATTCGCCGCTCGTATTCATTACAAAATAATCCTTATAGAATTCATTAAAAGTTCCGTCTTCAATTGCGTAGATTAGCAAGCTATTATTGCCTTCATCTAGATCAGTGGCTTCAATCTGAGGAATAATTCAAATTAATTAATTCTAATTTTAAATCTATCCTTACGATAGTGAGTAAACGCGATATATGAGTAAGTAAGAAAATCATATTCGCTTATGGTTGAAACTTCTATACGCATCGTCTTTTGTTTTTTTTTAAGTTTAGATGGACTAAGCCAATAAGATTTGTGGTTTATATGTCCAGATAATTATTAGCAAATGTAAACAAAACACAAAAAAAAAAAACTGCGGTTTTGTAGAATCGTAGATTGTGGAGTTGTTGGAAGTGATGTAAAAAAAAAAAAATGTTACAAAGTTAGGCTGAGAAAACTATGTTTTAGAGCTAAATTTCGAATGAACGTAAAAAAAATAGTTCACCGAGATGGTGTACATTTTTTGCTGCAAGAAGATCGAGGAGGCCACCATAAATCTTGAAAACCCAAAAGAACTTCTGATACCGTCAAGCTTACGACATTTAAAAATTAGATGTTTAGCAGACTCGCGCTAATATTACAAACTTCACAAATATCACATGCACGAATTATTTTTAAATATATTTTATCGTAAGGGTCTCATGAGTCTTTAGAGAATTTTGATTTCCCAGGGATTAAAGGAAACCACTAATAAGCTTTAAAGTTAAATGTGCATACAAGTAATACGATCAACACTTGAAACAATACGACGTTTAACAAACAGCTGAAAAATTTTTTCTGATGCGTTTTTTTTGTGTTAATGCAAAAAAAAAGAGGAAAGAAACAAGAATTTAAAAAAAGAATAAAAATAAGAAAAAATAAGAAGAAAACAAGTAAGAAAGTTATATTTGACGGGGGCCGAATCTCGTATACCCACCACTATGTTTTTCGCATGTTCTTTTATTTGATACCAATATCGCTAGTATTATTAAGAAAAAAGTAATCGCAGTATCTACCATATTCATTTTTAAAGTAATCCATTTCTAGGCAGATAATATATCTTCATTTAAGGAGCGTACAAAATGATTGTAAACATTCGGTCTTGTTTGCCTTATGATAAATAAGCATAAAATCTCATAACCTTATGGTTAAAGAGGGGCTAAACGATTTTTTGAAAAGTTGGAACATTATCCCAATTCGTTCTTATGCGTGTCATAAGCGCAAGCCTACGAATATATGCGTTAAACTCTTCTTATAGCTAATTTTAAAAAAGCTCGTAAAATAGTTGTTATGCTTTCCCTGGATATCAGCAAAGCCTATGATTGCGTCAACTTGATTAAGCTTGGCGGAATTCTCTTAAACTTTTCAACTACTCTTCAAATACATCTGTGGATACTAAAGTTTTTATCCAAGCATTTTGCTTGAGCCCCATACTCTTCAATCTATATACAACTACATGATCTTCAAGATGACAAAACTCATATTTTTAAATACGCAGATGATTTCTTAATTGTATCTGCGGATTCATACTTTTCCTCTCGATAAAAGCATGTCGACGTATGTACCGATCTTAATTCATACATTAATCCCACTAAAACATATACTACTTATTTTGCGAAATTAGGCTCTTTATCAAAGGAACTAAAGTCAGTCAAGTGAAATCTTTTCGATTTCTTGGTAAAATTTTAAATGACAGCGTAACTATCCGTGAACTTTGTAAGAAAGCCTTCAAAGATTGTCAATCTGGACGCGATATCATCAAATTCATGACTAACAATCAGTCAGGTTTGCCTTCTAAAAAGCTTTGAACGTGTATAAAGCTTTAGTCAGGTCCAAGATTGAAATTGCACTTTCCACATCTTGAAATTTTCCAAAATATATTGGGAAACGTATACAAACATTTGAAAATAGAATGTTAAAATGTTGTATTAGACTGACCTCCTCAACTCCTCAATATATTCTCAAATTCAATGCCTCTCTGGAATTTTGTTACCAATAAATATAGAATCTTCATGAATCTCCTTGAATCGATCTCTCCCTCGAAGTAAAATCTCAATCTCTTTTGCATGAGGATCTTATGTCAAGAAAAGCTTCTTCTTTATTACAACAACAGCTATAACGTATATGACACTGACGGTTCCATTCGACATAATGTATCTGGCTTCTCGGCAGTGAAACATTTGTCTAACATAGGGCATAAAGTCAAAGTTGCGTAGGAACTTTCCTCGGCTTTTATTGAACTGCATGCTATTAAGGTAACTATTATTTATTGTATCCAAAAATTTTGTTGTTTTTTCGATGGTAAGTCAGCTCTGCTTCTAATAAATAAAAGAGATGCAGATAATCAAGAGGTGTTTCATATACGCACAATGTTATATGAATCTCAAGTGGATGACTTCATCTTGTTTACGTATCTGATTAATGCGGTTTTTTTAAATGAAAAAAGCTGACTTTCATGCAAAAAGAGCTCAAATTGATGACACAACTCTGTTTATTAAATATACTCCCAATGAAGTAATACGGGAAATTCGTAACTTCTTTCAACAAGTAAATGATGAATTTAAAGAGATTGCTAAATTGATTAAAGAGATTGTTTAATCCAATCAGCTTTCTTATAAAATAAATCCTACATTTAGCTTTAAACCCCTTTAATTGTTGGGAAATCAAAATCCTTTATAGACTCATGAGTGATCACACTTATCATAGGGTGTCTTTAAAAACGATTCGTGCTATACCATGTGATATTTGTGAAGTTTGTAATATTTGCGAGTTTCCTGAGCGTCTAGTTTTTAGCTATCATACACTTGATGATATTAGAAGTTCTTTTGGCTTTCTCAAATTATACGACGATCTGCCCGATCTCTTTGTGGCACGTAATAACGGCGAACTAACTTGCTTTATTAAAAAAGCGAATTTATCTTTTTAATTTATGACACTTTTTTTTAATCTTTTTTTTTTACGTTCCATCGTATTTTATCTCTATAACATTCTTTTTTTCAGCCAAAGTTTGCAACACCATTTTTACATCACTTTCAATAATTCAACAATCTACAATTAAACTTAACATATCGGCTTTAGCTACCATGGCCGCAGCTTTTTTTTTTGTTTGTTTTATATACATTTCTTGCTAATAATTACTACTCTTTATTATCTGGACATATAAGCCACAAATTTATCAGCTCCGTCCATATTAACTCGACATCCAAAAAAAAAATTCATTGCGGGATTTATTTTATAGGAAACGCGCACCGTCTTTTTGTTAAAAAAAAAACGAAAAAGAAAAACCCAAATAAATAAAAAATAAAATTAAATAGTCTACAATATCGATGGATGCATACGCTTTTTTCTATTTCAGTATAGTTATATTAAGAACACTCATAAAATATACGCAGAAATTTTTATCGTTGATTTACAAGTAATGAACAAAAACCTCATAAAGCGGAGATGTTCTCAGGTGTTGTGTTGCTGTACGCTTTTCCTTTGATCTATTCTCAACTATTTTTAATATCCCTCTGCGTACAGGAACTTTCAACATCTCTGCAGATTTGGAACTTTTAATAATAATAATAATTTTTGCATTCCAAAATGTTTTTGCTGCAATTACTACGCAAACGGTCAGACGAACATGCCTAGATTCATTCGGTTCATCATAGTGATCAAGAATGTATTTTATAAAGGATTCACTGAAGCTTCCTTCCGTACATTGCGAACGCTTTTATGAATGAATATATCCACATGATGCTGTAGTGGAAGCAAAATAACATATTTAAATTTAATTTTTTTTTTGTTTGCAGTTGTGTTACAGCTTGTATGTTATGCCAAAAAAAAATTTCTGTTTTACTTGGACTCTTAAAGCATTAGGGATTTTCAGTTCTTATTTAAGCTTTACATCAATCGAGCATTTGCTGTTCGAAAGCATAGGAGTATGTATTAAAGAATCAATTCTTGACCAGCATGCATTGGAGACACATCCTGTCGCGACTTCGTTTTCGCAAATTAAGTTCGGAAAGTTGATATTACTTTTACTTTGTTTAGACTTACTTTGAGTACAAGTGAACCCGGCTTTGTATCATCTTTTAAAGTAATTTTGTATTCGTTTAATAAAAAGATCGGCTCATTATCATTTTCATCGTAAACTTTGATTTTAACGGAAGTATATGAAAATTTTCCGCCTCCATCAGTAGCTTTTACTAATAGATCATAAGACGTTTGAGTTTCTCGATCAAGCTCGTGCAATGTGAAAATAGCTCCACTAGCCTTATCTATCTTAAAGAGAGCATTTAAGTCATCGCCAATTATTTCGTATGAAATTGCAGCATATTTTCCGAAATCATTGTCATAGGCCTTCACCTAAAACGTTCACAATCAATTGAAATACGTACGTAATCTTAAATATTTCTTATTTTTTGCTTTAACTTACAGTTATTATTAGTTGTTGGGATTTTTGATTTTCCTGTACTGCGGCTTCGTATACTAGTTTTTCAAACTGAGGACTGTGAATATTCTCCGGCAACAGCGCAATTTTTACTCTAGCATAAGTCGTATGAATACCATCGGTAACCGATACGTTCAATACAGTTTGTTTGTGATTATACAGCTTTTGATTATTTTGTAGCGTAATCAGACCATTGCTTTCTTCAATAGCGTAAACTTGATGCTCATTGCCGTCAACAATTTTGTATTTTAAATTTAAATTATCGGAATCATCCGCATCATAGGCCTTCGCAAGAGTCACAAATTCGCCTCTAGTGGATAAAGTTGATAATTTACTGGAGAATGATGGCTCAACAAATCTAGGAATATTATCATTTAAGTCTTCCACTAAAAAAATCGAAAAAAATGCCCATATTTAACATCCATCTGAATACTTTACCTATTTTTTCAATATTTACCTTTAACCCATATATTTGATTTCGAACTTAACGATAACGGCGTTCCATGATCTTTTACAATAACAATTATATGATAATGCTTGCATTCTTCGTAGTCCAACATGTGTTTAAGATATAACGACCCATCTTGAACATCGATAAGAAAGTAATGCGAGTCAAGATCCCCGTTGACCGATTCGATTAGATAAGATAGAGCACCATTTGCGTCTGTATCGCGATCTGTTGCATTAATCTTCAGAATTTGTGTACCATACAGAGTGTTTTCTGATATGCTAATATTATAATTATCACTCTCTATTTCAGGATAACAGTCATTTGAATCTTCTACGTTAATGGAAACGGTAATTTCCGCAAAAACACCAGAAACGCTATCAGTTGCTCTGACCAACAATTCATACCGAGGTTGGGTTTCAAAATCCAACTTGTTCACAACCGATAATACAGCTAAAATAAAAATAAGTAAGAAAATTATAAACAGCCGTGACTCATTCTTTTATGCCCATCACCGTGATCCTAAAAAAATGAAAAAGAATTAAATTTATATATTCTACCACATTGAGTGAGCCCGGGTTATGTTTTCCATTTTCAGAATAAGAAATTTATATGGTGTATGTGTTGTACTTCATGAATAACAGGCAAAACATACGGTGCTTTTGTTATATAAATGTGAGGGCGGTGTAGGTGTGAAGTCATTTTCAAGTTCTTTGACAAGTATGTAGGCGCCACCTTCATTCTTGCGAACGGAAGAATGTTTACTACAACTTCTACACAGTTGCGCAGGCTGCATGCAATTTTTTCCATTTTTGTAGAGGTACTACATTGTCCATAGAATTGTCGTTCGAATTTTTGTAAGCTTATCTGTTGTAGTTTATGAGCAATGAGCAAGAAAATCAATTTTTTATTTCTACGTACGCCAGACATCACGGGGAATTCATCCGAGGTATTGAGGTTAAACAAAACCCTGAATGATCTATCATGCAGATAAGAGCTTAACCATTCCACTAAGAATAAAGGTAAGCCAGAGGCTTGGAGTTTAAAGATAAGTAGTCTATGATTAACCAAATCAAACGCTTTGCTCAGTGTATATGACATCAGTGCGGGAGCCATTAGAAAAAGGCTTGAAAACATGAGAAGTAAACTCTAACAGATTGGTGACCATAGATCTTCCCTTTCAAAAACCATGTTGAAGGGGAGAAATATATGATTTCATGGAAAAGGCTGTATGCTGAGCCACAATTCGCTCGAACAGTTTAGGCAAGGCACTCAACTTGGCAATGCCTCTGTAGTTCTCTACAAATTGTCTACTACCACTTTTATGAATAGGAATAAGTACACAAGTCTTCCAACACAAAGGGAAAACACCTAAATTCAAGGACTTGTTAAAAATCTTTGAGATAACACCACATAGCTCGCCAGCAGAAGATATAAGTACACAGAAGGGGATTGCATCAGCTCCAGGCAAACAATTTTTTAGAGATTTATGGAGATTTATGGAGATTTTTCTTTTGGAATTAACGAACTTAAAAAAGTATTTACGATTAGCAAACAAGGAGGATTTAACAAATTAAAGTTATCTGCAGTAGTATTGGCGCTAGAGGGAATTAAATTTATGCCTTGCCACTGAGTAAGCGAAACAGTCGAAAGAAAAACCACTTTTCGAAAATTTTTTGAAAAGCTTGTTTTTCCTATTCTTGTAATATTTAATTGTTTTATTAAACCACGGAGGACACTTGCTTCGAGGACGGGACTGCTTAATCGAAACGGATGCAGAAATATCTTGATTTAATATATTGTAGAACGACGATAGTAAACTATGAATACTTCCTACTGAGCACAATATGAGAAAGATGTGGTTTTAGCATGGAAACATTGATTTTATGGAAATCATAAAATGTATATGAAAAATTTGAATTTGGAACGTTATAGTAGTTCGACGAACCAACGTGCTTGTAATGAAAGGAAATACCCAATGCTGGATGATATGAATCCTCAGGTAAACTAAACGGAAGACAACGATTAACGCAAATCTCAGGAAAATTGGCAAAGCAGAGATCAAGCAGTCTACCATTACAATTGGGGTTACGATTGTATTGAACTAAATTATGATCAGATAACTCATTAAAGAACACAACGGCTCTACCAAATGTTGAGGTAGGAATCAAACAGCCAGAACTATCACTGTAACACCAAGTGACTTGAGGCAAATTGAAGTCACCCAACGCAATGACTATATCGATAGGTTTGCATTGCTTGACCACTTCACAAATGAGGGCGGCCTGTTTCTTATATACAGAGATGTCCGAATTTCCGTATGATAACACATCACTCAATAAGATCTTAAGATGAGATATAGATGCCGTTACTATTGATGAATCCAGATGATTTGTTGATAGTGGCAATTTTCAGACGACGTATATCAAAAGTACAGGAAATCCAAACCATCAATTTACAAGTTACAGTCGTTTTAGGGACGTTAATTACAAAATTTTCAAAACAAAGGAAAAAATCTCAATTTTGTTTGCTGAACTAAAAAAACGTTGCTTTTTGATGAAAAAAAATAAACAATCCATAAAAAGTAAAATTAGTTGAAATTTGCGTTTATTATTTAATAAATAAAATAATTTCTTGATCAAAAATAGAAGTTTTTACTTACCCGTTCTATAATCAATTTCGAAAAACTCATTTTCATTTCCAGATGCTATCGTGTATATTAATTTTCTTTGCATCGGGCTTTCAGCTTGGACAGATACCGATAAAGCTGAAAAAATCTCAACGTCTTCCTTAACACTGTCCGAATAAAATTGCCGATCAAAGATAGGCATAGATCTGTCAACCACCTTTTGGCGGCAACATAAACGCGTTAAAGTACGTAATGTTTCGTAAAATTAACTTTACTTACCTTTATTGAAACCGAAACTTCTGCTGAGCACGGTATAATTGCTCCATCATAAGCTGCTATTATAAGTTCGTAACTTCTATCGTGTCCTTCAATTGGTTGCTTCAAAATAATTTCCCCCGTTTTGCGTTCGACTTTGAACAATTCGCCATTGCCTTTCTTCATTTCGTAACGTACTTCACCGTTCTCGAAACTGTCCAAATCGATCGCTTTCACTTGTGTTACGACTGTACCCTTCATATCTTCTTGCGATACGGTGGCATAATATGGCAAGTTCACAAACATGGGGCAATTATCGTTCACGTCCAATATACATACGTCGACATGTGTTATTGACCGACGTATATATTTCTGTTTATTTTTATACAGAATTGACATAGCCTCGACTATTAATTTATATTTATCTACAACTTCGCGATCGAATACAATACCGGTTGTCTTTATGGCTCCCGATGTTTTGCCAATTTCGAATAAATTTGTAGGGTTCAAAATTCGATATTCCACATTTTCAAATAACAAATTGCCTACGACATTTATCACACCAACAGTGGATATTTTTGTTGAATTTTCAACCGTTGACAATTCATATCTTGATTTTCGAAATGAAATTCCAGAATTTTCACTCCCTTCAATAATAACATCAACTTGAACTATTGTGGAATACAAACCATCGGATGCACGTGTGTGTAACGTATAAAATGTGTTTAATTTTTCAACGTTTCTAAAAAGGGGATCAAGTAAATTGGGTCAAAAGCGCACACAACTTATAGGATATAATAAAAATAGTACATTTTGGTGTAAATTTCGAACTTGATAGATATCGTAAAGTAACGCGCAATTTGTGCAATATTGGCATAATTGTTATAAAAATTTCTCAACTGTTTTGAAGGACTGTCTTAAGAGGTTTATATTTTTATGCTACTATTCACTATATTAATTACCCTTCAAATTCTATTCAAATTCTAAATTTAAATTTTTGCTTTCTCTTACAAAAATTTTAATCACTTCCTTAAGCGGTTAATGCGGCATTGTTCACATTTAAATAAAGATTTCAATTTCCTCTTTATTTGATATATCTACTTATTTGCTAAATTTATTTATTTAACAAGCAATGAACTTTAATTCATTTTGGTTGGTTTACCAAACGATAAAGCATACTTCTGCCGTCACGTTTACTACGAACTAAAATTCTTTATAAATTGCAAAAGTTCAATTTAAAACAAGTAAAAACATTATAGCCCGCCATGGGTCATCAGAAAACATCCTGTACCACTTTGCTTAATGCGGTTATTCAAAGAAGGACTTTGCAAAGACTTTTTATGGGAAGGAGCCGAAAGAGAAGCCAAATCCAAACCATTTTCAATAGCCAGTAGCCCTTGAGGTAAAGGACGTCAGTCTACCAAGTTTCATCAAAATACCTTAAATATAACATAAACTAGCTTTTATCCTTAAAAGTCGTTACGATTCGAAAATGAATTGTTATTAAGTATTATCGGTTGCCAGGCTTATGCATGTTTGCGATGGCTTAGGGGTTCATTTGCAATTTGGTCCTGTACCGGTTGTAAGCGTGGCTCTATGCTGGTTGTGTACATGCTTTTTTTTCTTTTTTCTTTTTTTTTCCTTCTTATTTGTTTTATTGCACTTATACTAAGTTTTATTTTAATTTAATACAAGTTTTGCTTTAAGTGCCAATTGAACTCAACTGTTATTTGTTTAGTTGAGTTTCATGTATAAGTAGAATTAAAATAAATAAAATAAAAAATAAAACATGAGTCTGTTTCAAGTCAGTCTGGATGCTCCATACACACAACCAATATACCCTGTATACGGTATAGACTATACTAATGAACTTGTTAAGAAATAAATTAAATTTTCCAACCTTAGATGACGCCAGTTCATTTGTGCGGCGGCATTCTCCAATATGGAGGCTTTCATAAAAAATGTGCTCTTATATAGATTTTGGTGAAGTGGCATAGGGTGATTCGTCTGGCACAACTATAATCTTCTTACTTATTTCAAGTAGGTCAGATTTTTACTTATATCAAAAGCTATTTCAGGATAAGAGTGACTCAGTAAATTGTCTTTTTAATGATTTCGTCGATTTTAGTTTGATACATAGGCAGTGGATGCTGTTTGTGTTTGCTTGAAAAATATTATTTACCTTGTCGTTATTACGCCTGTAGAATTGTTAATTTCGAAACAGTTGTCAATATTGCCATCGACGATATCATAACGAATTTCGGAATATCCATCTTTATCCGAATCGATAGCGGTGACCTTTGTTACCTGCACACCTTCATACGTTGGTATATACAATGTTACGTTTACGTCCCTTTTACTAAACACTGGCGGACAATCGTTAACGTTAATTACTTTTATATGAACCGTGGCTAGTGTATGGGAATATAATTTCGGATTTCCCATATCATTAACCTGCATAATGCGTTAAATATTGTTGATGTATAATAAAATAAATTTATTAAATCAGATGTGCCCACCATGACATCAAATTTGAAGAATTCCTTTGTTTCATAATCCAGCTTACGCAAAAGTTTTATTGTTCCAGTGGATGAATCAACTTGAAAGTAGCGCTTAGCTTCATCATCCATTATTGTATAGTCGAGTAAACAATTTTTACCAACATCGATATCTGTTGCATTAAGAAAGATTAAACCGCTAAAAAGAGAAAATATATAAATATATACATATAAATTATAAATCGAAATCCACATGTCCAAATCTGGATCGATATCTGGTACAGATCGCAAGCTATTACCGCGAATTATTTTCTTGATTGTGTTAGTTCTTTCCTAGTAGTTGTGTGTATAAGAGAAGCTATAAACAAAGCAAACAGATACGTAGTGGCTAAGTATGCTTTAAATTAAATTTGTCATTTTCACTGTTCTCTAGCGATAAAGGAAAAGAGGATTTAGAAAATTATTTAAAAGTAATCGTTTAATTCTGAATGCAGAACTCATATAAATTTTGATTTTCTTCGAATTTTGTCCGCAAATTAAAAGTTGTCGAAAAATTCAATTATTAAACGACGTGAGTAAATCTATAAAGCTTACTGTATAGATTTATAATGCGACTACTTCCCGGGAGGCAAAAATTTCCGCACCATTCCGTCTCAAACCTAATGAAAATCTTGGTGTCATATTTTCGGATTAACTTTCAAAGAACAAGACAGAAAAAATTGCTCCCTTCTCTGCCAGTAGTACGAGGCAGGCCTCGTCGGATGTGGAAACCTTTTGCTAACGCATATGTGCTTCAATGTGAAGTTCAGTAAAACTTTACAGTGTATGGATAACTAAGGAAAAAAAGCAATCATGATTTTAGGGTAATTTGAATTTCTTCTAGGTTTCCTTATTAACGAAAATCAAATTGCCCGATATCTTTATTTTTGTTTGAAAGCAGTGAACATGTTTCTTTTTTTATCGTACCTGCTTTGGGAGTCGTTTCTGTGAATGTATGTTCCCACTGCAGCCGCTTCTGATATATGTCCAAAATATTCTGTTTGCACAAAAAATGGTGCGTTATCATTAACATCGAGCACGTGAATGAGAACATTCTGATATGATGTTATTGACGCCATATTTGTTCCACTTATCGTAATATTGATGAATCTAGACAAGGGCATGAATTGACGTCCATTGAAATATCATATATATCTACTGACCATTTATCCATTCTCACTTACTTGAATCGTTCATAATCAATTTGTAAATTTACTAATATCATGCCTGTCGAATGATTTATATAAAATAATCCATCATCATTGCCGTTAACAATGTCATAGAAGACGGATGATGATGATCTAGCCTCGACAACGGTAATAAAAGTACCTAACGGAAGATTTTCATAAATTTCTACGGATACCGTTGGGGCACTAAAACGTGGTGGATCGTTTTCCGACATGGTGACAATAATATGAATGGGTATTTGAGAAGACAATGGTGGTTGACCGCAATCAGTAGCTTTTATTTGCAACATATATTCCTGTATTTGCATTATATTCAGACTTTGCGCAAGGTAAACGATACCAATTGAGCTGTCAATTTCAAAGATGTTACCAACATTCCCCGTAACTAGAGTGTACTTAATTTCGCCATTTAGACCACTGTCTTTATCGATGGCATTTAGCTGTACAATTTTAGCGCCCACGGTTGTACTCTCGGGTATTTTCCTTTGCACAATTTTATTTGAAAATTCTGGAGCATGATCGTTATGATCGTGTACTAATACAATAATTTTGGCGTAATTCCTTTTAGCTGGTGTGCCCTGGTCTTTAGCAATAACTGTTAGAACGTGGCAATTGTTCCTCTCATAATCCAATCTCTGTGTAACAATTACATTTCCAGTAATCGAGTCAACACGAAAATATAATAACGATGATGGATCTCTTGAACCGTGCAAAGTATAAAATATTTTCTTATCTTCATCTTGATCGGTGGCATGCAACTGCATTATAATAGACTCCTCCTCAATGCTCTCGGATATATTAACCAGGTATATATCCTTGGTAAATTGTGGTCGATTATCGTTTGTATCAACAACGTGTACAAAAAGGTGAGTTTGAACTACATGCGATCCGTCCGTTACGCTAATAGTAAGATTGTAGGAGTTTTGTGCTTCCCAGTCTAATGACTTTGATAGTAAAATATTCCCATTGTCTCGTCCAATATAAAACTCGTCCCTTTCATTTCCATCTGAAAGGGAAGACTTAAAAATGAAGTATCTAAATGTATTGCTTTGTCGAATAATAACCAACTTACCACTTATATTGTACCATAAATAGTCATTGTCCTTATCTACTGCTTGTATAAGAGTCACAAGAAAGCCAGGGCGATCGCTTTCTGTTACCTCCACTACACTATCTTGTGTCTTGATAATCGGTGCATTTGGGGATATTTCCAAAATTGGTAAAACAACAACATTAAGCCTAGCGGTCTGACTTCTTTTTGGGCTACCATGATCTTCAGCCCGGATAATCAACTCATAATCTCCATCAGACTCAATAAATTTCGTAACAAAAATCAAACCATTATCAGAGTCAATGCGAAACTTATTTTTCCCTTTGCCAGACTTAATTGAATAGGAAACTCTGCCATTTTCACCGACATCATTGTCAACGGCCTGAACCTAATGGACGTACACATAAGAATTTATGCACCTATGAGACATATCGATATTTAAAAATTAATGAACATTTTTTAAATTTATTCTACAAAAATCTATACACTTAAACGTACGCAAACATAGCTCGCAATTTTTTAACATTTGAAAGTGTTAGTAGACATTTTTTTGTTTATTCGCGGAGCAAATTTAACATTGATTACGGTTTTGCAAATTTCTGCAATAAATTCAAATTAATTTTCACATATTGATTACACTGTTTTAGCCAAGATACTTTTTTCAGTTTATCCTAGACTTCACGCTACAAAAATTGTTTCCGCAATAAAGTTCTTTCATGTACTAATATAATAATTCACAAGTGATTGCTTAAAAAATATCCTTACATAATTTCGCAAAATTTCTACAATAATTAGTTTACGCTATTGATTTCACTAAAAACGAGAGTTCATGTTTTACCGAATATTTGAAGACGTCTATGTACGTTAAATTGATCAAAAGAAATTCTTGATATTTATTATTAACCTTATCGATTTATATTCCATAGCTTAGTTTTTCTTGATTCAAAGACGTCATTCGTGGCTTGTTCGTACAAATAAAAAGTACACTCATCGATGTACAATACGAATGAATTTATTCCGTGAGGAACTTGTGATACATACAATATATATTGTTTCAATAGATCATTGAATATCACTGTGGAATATATATATGTATATATATTTATTCAGGCTTACTTGGGCGATGGAAGTATTTATTATTACAGTTGAGGGAACTTGAATTTTATAGAATCTTTGATCAAACTGTGGATTATGGTCGTTGATATCATCGACAATAACTACGATACGAGTTGTCGATGCTAACGATGGATTACCATTGTCTGAAATCGAAATCTAAAAAGATATAGGTAGATATAGTATATGTTAATAATAACATTATATCAGATAAGGGTAAAGTGAAAGAAATCCTTCCAGTTCATTTCGTGGGATCTGAAATAATGATCTCTTAACATCAGTATTTAACATGTAAAAATATTATAGTCGTGCAAGACCGACTATTAAATAGCCTACGCTGCTTTTCCTAGTAGAGTAAGTAATATTAACCAAAAAATTACACATTATGTTTTGCAAGGGTATACTTTACAAGAGAGCCCGCATATTACAGAATGCACAAACACCAAATTTAGCAAATTTAATTTACTTCTTCAAAATTATATCATTTCTCGATTTCCGTCAACTAGAAAATCGTCTTTTTCTCCATATTAGAGTGGCCGAGCAGGTGAGAGTCGGGACTAGCGGGTCAACATTCGCGAGTTTAACAGGGTAGCTAAGTGAGTGTTCAATCGGTAAAAGCATAGCACTTACCGATTGGGCACACCGATCTGCTATGTGGTGGCCCCCTCCCAATATCTTTCCCTTTCTTCACTTCTTCTTTTTCTTTCTGGCCATCATCGTGTTGTATGAATAGGGCACATCCCTTGAGTGATTAGTCATAAAATATATATATATATATATATAATGGCTTACTTTTCATGATAACCACTGTTAGCGTTCTAAAAAACTTAAGTGATTCAAATTCCCTATCGTTGACTTTTTTGCTAAATTGCTACTAAGGACCAATTTTAATCATAAAATATTAACAATTGGGCATTTTTGACAGATAAGGATTTACATTTTCTAAGAAATCTTACATGCGGTGGCAAAAAATAGCCGCACGTGGTCCAATATTGTAGGGTGTAAACATGGAGGAGGAACTTCTTTCACTCATGAAAAATAGAGACAATATATGCATAAACATCTTTTGAAGGAAAGAAATTTCTTACCTCTAGAATGTGTTCGGCTTGATTTTCTCGATCAAGTTTACGTTCGGTTGTCATTAATTCACCTAAAAGAAAAGCATATTAAACGAGAAGAAAAATACTAAATCTCACAATAAATTTAATTCAGTTTTCAATACAGTGTTATGTCGTTCTAAAACGTTTTATATTAATATAAAATATCTTTCAAAATCGGTTTTTTTTTTCTACATTTTCAAATTTATGGCCATAGTCCATCCTTAAATTTGTAAAAAATTTCTGATATTGCATAGAGGTATGCATTGAGGATCCCATCAAACATATATATTTTTCACTATCGTTTGGCTCTCTATTTGTTTGCTCATATAGCACGTACCACCTTAAGGCTTTCTTTAGAAGAACAAACTTCATTTCTTCTTTTTTTAATCACTCTCGTTAGGTAAAATTCGGAAAACGTTTCAATTAAACTGTGAGTCTGCCGACATTTCCCAAAGAGTTAATTGTTTTTCCGTTTTCTCTACAAACAAAAACTTTTATAATTATTTAAAGCTTTGTGCTTCCTCTCAAATTTGTTTTGATAAAATCTCTGTCCCAAGTTTGGATTTCAGCTAAATCAACTAAACGTTGGTTCACAATTACTAATAAGCCTCATGTGAACAACGTGGACTATATAAGCTTTCTTCGCTATGTACAATTTCCTCTAATCGTCTGTCAAATTACGTAAGTCTAATTTTAATTATGTGTTATACTTAATATCTGCAACATAACGAAGAATACGTTAGACGATATGTATTGAATAAACGTCTCTGTCCCTGGCAACTACATAACGTATGCAAGTCGGTAGAGACCAATACAATATTGACTTTTTGATGATTGTATTTACCAAAGGTTTGTTTGTGATTAAATTATTACCTGTTGTTGTGTTTATGGAAAAGAATCCTTCTGGATTTCCTGATATTATTTTAAAATGCAACAACTGTAATGGATCATTGTCCTCATCGGTTGCATTTAATTGCATTATTCTTGTTCTAGCGGGACTACCCTCTGGTATGGTTGGGTAATAGACGGGCTTAAGGGTCATTGGCACATTATCATTTACATTCTCAACATCTATGTAAATCTTAAAATTGATAAAAAAAGACATATTAAATAAAAATGGTATGCTATTGTCGATGACATAAAATACCTGAACGCAACTGATAAGTGGCACTACAGCATGATCTTGAGCGCATAGAGTTAACCAGTAAAAATTTTTAGTTTCAGCATCAAGATGAGACAGAGAACGTATCGAACCTAAAACATAACACATAATACATAATAGAAATATTAAATAGCTTCCGTGTAATTTACATTTGAATTTTCTCTTCTCCGAAAATATATTTTTTACATTTGAAATAATCTTTTTCATAGAATAATGACTAACGTCTTTTAAAATCTACAGCCGGATAAAGAGTTTCAATCCAACGGTCACGTAGGTCATTTTACTTCTTACAACAGGTCTGGCTTTCAATTCGGCAACAACTATATTAATAACCCAATATTGATTCTTACATTACAAAACGTAACTCTTTGTTAGGGCAACCTTAGTTGGCTCTGATATTGACGTTCTCCTTTGAAACTTCACAAAATTGTAAATGAAAATTCGCATTTTTGTGCCTAGCATCGAAAGATATGGACACATTCATTCTGTGGTGATGTTTGCAATATCCAAAGCAAACTTTAGTTATCCTACTAAGTATATGCAGTCTCGATCAGCGTCAAATTCTGGACCGATCTAGCCATGTCTGTGTGTCAGAGGACACGCTCACATTAAACCGTAAATGGAAATCATCTCTGCTTCTCTAAATAAAAATTTGCCGGTTTTTGCTTATTGCTCGTAAATTATGAAAGATTGAAGACCGAAATTTTCTAAATCCTGCTACTCATTCAAAAATGAAAAAAGTCGGCCACACCCATACAAAGTTATAAGTGATTAAATTTTCATTCATTTCATTAGATTCTAAATAAACTCATAAGTAATACATTGAAAATTATATAACGAACTGCAGCGTTATAAGGAAGGGTAGAATTGGCACCGGTATGATAAAGTGAACAGTGGTTGTTATGCAAGATTCGACGCCAGCCGTATGCAACTTTATCATTCGTCTTTTTTCGTAAATATTTTTTCGCTCTGACTTATTCATATGGCTTATAATCTTTTAGTAAAGATATTATTTCTAAACTGACCTTTTTCGTTAACGGAAAACACACCCAATCCATCGCCTGCCCGAATAGAGTAAGATATTTCTGAATCTGGTCCAGAGGCATCTAAATCTCTCGCCGTTATATTCATGACGACTGCCCCACGAGGTTGATTTTCTTTTACTTTACCAATGTAGACAAAATCGTCGAATTCAGGAGCATAACGATTTTCATTAACGTCGATTATTTCTATAACAACAGGCATATGGGATGATAACGATGGCAAGCCACAATCAATAGCAGCCACGATTAAATTGTGCACTTGCTGTGTTTCGTAATCTAAATAGCCCTGTGTCCGAATTACACCGTTGTACTTATCTATTTTGAACAATGAAACGTTGGAAGCGTCATCCTTTAATGAGAACAGAATTTCACCGTTGGTACCCGCATCAAAGTCACTAGCATCGATTTTTGCAACAACAGTTCCTCTTGGAAGATCTTCCCGTACTTTAAATATAACCTCCTGCACGCCAAAAATAGGAGCATTATCGTTGACATCTTCAATGTTTATTGATATAAGCGCTTCTGCACTGAGAGATGGTGTACCTCTGTCCTTAGCAATTATCTGCAGTTCATGGTCTTGTTTTTCTTCTCTGTCTAAAGTGCCGCGCACAAAAATGCAACCTGTGCTCTCGTTTAAGTCAAAAAGTTTAGTTTCGGTTTTCATGACATATCTCACCGCGGCATTTTGACCGATATCGGCATCAGTGGTGTTCAAGCAAAATACTAACGTACCATTTGGCGTGTCTTCAGCCAGCTGAAATTGTGCTAACGATTTTTGAAATAACGGAGTATTATCATTACTGTCGAGTATAATAACAGACAATATTTTTGAGTCGCATTTTTGAGGTTGTCCTAGGTCGCAGACCGTTATGTTTAAAACATATTCATCCTGTCTTTCCCTATCTAAATAACCAATTAGTTGCAGTTCGCCACTATCTGGATCAATGCGAAATACAGAGTCCATGTCGCCATCAGATATGGCATAAATTAATTTGCCATTGTAACCTAAATCTCGGTCTTTGGCTTTAATCCATGTTATTGTGTCGCCCAGTGAGAGACTTTCGTTTATACTCAACTCCAAAAGGAAATTGACAAATTCCGGGTCATGTAAATTTTGACCATAACGACTGGGTAATAATATATATTCATCACCAGTGATTTCTTTATCATTATTCATATTGTTTTTCTCGGAGATTGCCAATATGTCAGCCAACTTCCTGGCAACTCCTGTCTCATGACATTCAAAGTTACTGTAACCACTAAAATCAAGATGTTTAAAGGGTTCATAATTATTCTCCTTTAAAAGTTCTACGTAAATTGTCATTTCATCGGAAAAATGGGTTCCGTCCGTCGCAGAGACGTTGATATGTCGATGTGATGCGACTACATCGCTTAAATCACAACCAATCGATATAACACCAGTCGTGGGATCCAAATTGAAGCATCCGTCCTCATTGCCCACAATTAAACGATATGTTATATAATCCCCAACATCGAAATCAATGGCAGATAAAGTAAATATATCGATTCCGATCGGAGCATGACGAAATATTCTTCCTTTACAATTAACGCGTTCAAACTGTGGTCTATTGTCGTTGATATCAACAACTTTAATCAAAATTTCCACTTCCGTCTGCCTCCGAAATGGTAGACCCCAATCAGAAGCACGTACTCTTAATTTATATACGCGCCGCATTGTTTCATAATCGATAACAGTCGTAGTTCGAATCACACCACTGAAATGATCGATATCAAAGGGCACATCGTTCAGATTCGCTATACTATATGATATGTATGCATTTTCACCGGAGTCGTCGTCACGTGCGATTACTTTCGTTACATAAGTTCCCGCTAATTCATTTTCATTCAAAAGTACAGTTGAGTTAATATTTTCAAATATCGGATCGTTATCGTTGATGTCAATGATATTAATTTTAACTTTAGCTGAGGACTGTTTGCGATTTCCAATGTTAGCCAAATCAATGGCTGATACGGTTAAAGTGTAAAAAGATTTCTTTTCAGCGTCAAGCCGTTTCTGTGTATACAACATGCCCGAGTCTGGATTTATACGAAATTCGCCACCTTCGTTACCACCGACGATTTCAAGGAAAACTAATGCGCTTTTTCCGAAATCAGGATCGGAGACTTTCAATCGTATCACCGGCATATTGGGGGGTGATGTTTCCGGTATGGATACTTCATAAATTTGTTTTGTAAAAATTGGAGCATTTCTATTTTCGACATAGATTGTAATCGGCACTAATTTAAAACTAAAACGTTTTGGAATCCCTCTATCTTCTGCCCTTAATGTTACGTTAAACGTATTCGTAGAATTGTTGAGTCTCACCAATTTGTTCAACTGCAGATAATATTCACCTTGCTTGTCGGTAGGTACTATACGGAAATTACCATCTAGATCTCCAGACATTATTTTCAAATCGTTAATTTCCCCGTGTCGTCCTTCATCCTTATCAGTAACTTTAACAATTCCATAAACTTTATTCGTAAAATAATCGTTGTAGGTGAAAGCGCTGGATACTGTATTTACATAAATTTCGGGCGAATGTAGGTTAGACTAAAAAGAAATATATTTACATTAAGTTATTAATATACATGGATGCCTGCATGGATAGAGCATGGATGTCTGATATGGCCAAATATTTTTGATGTGATTGTTGTCTACAGAGAAATCGCAATGCGGTATATAAACCGATTTTGTCTAAATTTAAAAATTCAAACTTTACATTGTACTAACGAAAAATTTGTCAGAATTCTATGTATACGTGACCTATTATCAAATATTACAAACCGATATGGAGAGGTAAAGTTTTTACATAATATAAGAGTTATTGATTTTTCGTTTAATATATGCTACTCCTCCCATTGAAATTAAATGAAAAACGAATTTATGAGATGATTGTTTGTATTAAAATCCTGCCTAACATATGCCACGCGTACTTACCTCTTTTATTTGGATATAGACTCTTGCTTTACTGGATTGATGATTGTGATGGTTGATTATAGAGCCTCTGTCGTTAGCAAGAACTACAAGTTCAAGCTTTTTAATACTGATGGTCGTTAGCTGCCTTACATTAGATATGACACCAGTTGTAGGGTGAACAGCAAAGTAATCATTATCGTTTAAAAAACTGTAATAGATTTCTCCGTTGATTCCTAAGTCAGCATCCTCTGCCGTTACTTTAATAATATTGCTATGTATAGGGAGGTCTTCAGTAACAGTAACAGAATATTCAATAGGAAAGAATAATGGACTTAAATCGTTACGATCCAAAACTTGAACATGCATCAGACAATCTGTTTCATAGTTAAGTGTAATAGCATTTTCCGAGCATGTAATAATAGCTTTAATTTTTAATAGGTACTCCTCGTTCTTCTCTCGATTTAATACAACGTTACTGGTCCTTGTGCGAATGGCTAAAAATGCAAAGTTTCCGACAATTCTCTCTTCGGCTTTAAATAATTTATCACGGTCACCGGAGATAATTCGAAAACGTACATCACAGTTTTTACGTATTTTTAGACCGATACGGTCCTCGTGTAATTTGGATATGGCATACGTTTTTCCAATACTATTTTCTGGAATGGTTACATTGAATGTGCTTCTCTCGAATTTTAACTGATTTCTATTGTGCAACAATTTCTCATCATTGTTAGCAAACTTTTTTGTGCTTTTTGCCAAAGAAACAGTTTGATCCAGGTACGTAGATTGAATTTTACAACAAATAATTAAAAATAGAGCCCAACCGGACATTATATCTTTATACGTCCATATTTCCACATTGCGTTTAATCTTCATATTAATTATTTTCAGTTAAGGAAAAACAAAACATTACATACTTTTAAAATCTGAAAACGAAAATAGATAAAAATCATGTTATCAGCTTATGATCTTTTCAAGTATCAAAACAACTTTACATTAAATAATCCATCGTTTGGCTACTAACTAAGTAGCAGTACGCAAGCTCTTGTTTAATACAAGGGCAGTATAAGAAATCTTGTTAAATTAGTTAACAAAAGCAAAAAAAGAAACTTATCTTTTCATTTCGCCCGCGATTAAATTGAAAAAATTCCTTGGGACGCCCGCGTTGTGTTTAGTCGATAAGATTGAACGAATGATCAAATAGCATGCTGCGGTTGAGGTTTAATGAATATTCTCTCTTCACTTTTATGTTGGCGTCTGTATATAAACAGATGGATATATATGCATTCATTTAAGACCGGCACGCTCTTCATATTGCATAACAAATATGTTGACTTTCCTTAGGATATTAAATATTAATGAAGCCTTTTCATGTATAAAACTTGGTGATATTAGTCATAGAACAGCAATCATTTAGGGTTAAACCATTCAAAAAAAATAAATAAGCAAACGAAACCTAATCCACAAATTGCTATAAATTAAGTCCAATCTATATCCTTATGCTAAAGTATCAGCGTCATATCCAAGGTTACTATGGTAGAGTAAATTTCACCATCCACCGATATACTCCATTATCTTTCTGTTGCGTACACCTGTTGTTAGTGTACATGTGTCATCATGGTTTCACATTATTACATTATTACATGATAGCGCCGTAAAATCTCAATGACTTATAACTACTTCTCTTGTCATTCGGCATGTTGGCATCATCGAGAAATCTGCTGACTCTTTCCCTTTTATTTGTGTTTTGAACAAAAACCAGATAGCTAATTATTTATTCTAAGTGCAAGTTTACTCCCAAATTTTGAAAACGGTCTTTCGAAATTTCGTTTTTACCAATAAGTGTGTCAAAAATATGTCGAGCAGCGATTAAAAACTGAAATTGATGCCGCAGTACAAGGCAAAAAGTATTCCCCGAGAACATAAGAACATATTCAAAATAACATTATTTCAATATTGACAGGAAGATCAAACCGTAGGTTTCCAATCTATAAAGCTAACAGACAGATATAAGCCCCGTGCATACAGAGAGCGCTGTGCACAGAGAGAACATCGTTAAGTGAAAGCCTTATAAAAGTTTTAAAAATATTCGTTTCAGAGATTTATTGTTTATTCGTTTATTTATTGCGAATACCAATCAAACTTTAATCGATACAGATGGGGAGAACACAACTGTGTACGAACCAATCATATCATTTCATTCGACACTCGATATTTAATATTTATCTGGCATATGCAGGTCTAATAAGGCCTGTCTAAATAAGGAGAAACTTTGGGCTATTTCATGTTATAATTAATGTATTCACGTATACTTAAAATATATACTTCACTAAAGAAGTAAAAAGTTAGAATCGGGCAATGTCGACTATCAAATGCTTTACATCACCTCGCTCATTAAAATTCTTTATTTATTTTCTTAATAAAAGGCAAAAAATTATATCTTGTTTCAATTCAAGAAATTATATCATTTATAGGGGCTCGCTTAGAACGTGAACGAACGTGCCTTAAATTTAACAAATTTACTGTTCTGCTCTCAGATATTATTAATCTTCAATAGCTTTTGTCATGAAGAATTAAAAATTAGGCTTAGTATGCCATGTACTACTAGATATGTAAACATAAAACCGGAACTTGCCCATGAATGGCACTAACATTATATGTAGAGGACATACAAATCCAAAGTTTTTTTTATAACTTGGACGTTGGGCAGCAGTAAACAGTCGCAATACCGAAACATATCTCAACGCAAAAATACTTTCCGTAACAACGAAAATGAAGTGCCAAATGAACAACATTCGGCGAAAGTATTTTTTGTCATAACAGGGGATGAAATGCGAAAATTTTTCAGAATTCGAGGCGTAAAAATACATGGATACACCCAGGTCAATCACATCAACCCTGCGTTTGTTGGAATCAAAGGATCGTGCTTTGTTACCAGCTGTTAAGGCGTGGTCACACGGTTAATACCAAACGCTATCAGCAACAATTAGTCGATTTAAAACGTTGAAACGTTAAACAAGCAATATATCAAAAAATCAACGTAAGATTGTTTTTTTACGTAAAATCTGTTCATTTATCTATACAGCAAAATCGGTTCGCAATACATTGGAAGCACTCAACTGCCTATACAGCTTAGTCACAAAACTCGAGACCTTCTGAATGCCACCTGTTACGTGGTTTGCGAGACGCGCATTTACTGCTTCGCACTTCACTTCTTAACAAAGGAGCTTTAAAGAAACAACAGTTTTTTTGACGTATCATCCATAAGTTGGCATACACAGGGGAAAAATGTCTACTTTGACTTTGAATAAAATATTCTTTATCATTGTCATAAGCAAATTCCGATTTCGTATGTACGCACCTGAAGGCTTACCTTATATACAGTAATACACCTACATAAAAAAATGTACCTAGAATTTTCATTAGGATATTTTAATAATTAAACCATTTTGCTATACACTTGAAATATTTAAAATTTCATTTTTTTTCCTTCAGATAAGGAATTTTTCAAGATAAGATGCTATTTGGCAATTCGTCAGAAAAATAATTCGCTTCAATTGAGTTTAAACTCCGTCCCTTCTCGCGCCAAAACACGTCATTATACTAAGTTTCGTGAAAATATCTTAAAAATTGCGAACTCTACGTTGAACGTAAAAATACTGGGAAAAACATCAAGCAGACAAAAGGCTAGAAAAACTCAAATCGGCAAATGTCGGTATAACAAGAGGCGGGTCTGTTTTAAGCTCTTCTGAGTGTTACATACATCCGCTTAAACACAATAAATTATATTATGTATGCCCCAATTGATAGGCAGGATACATACATTAAATTATGTTTCTATATAAACAAAATCCTGATAAAACCCTCTTTCATCAAACTTTAAAAAGAATGGCAAGAGGCTAGATTGATGCCGTTACCTCAAAAGCTGCAATTTCGATAGTCTTTGTAATATGTTTTTTTTTGCTCAAAACTTTCCTCTTTAATTAAATTCAAACTGATTTTTACGCGGTATCAAAAATATTAAAATCAAAGGAAGACGGATGTGCCAGCCCATGACGGTGATCAATTGATCATTTGCAAAATCGTTTGAAATCATTTACGAAAAGTTTGCAAGACGATCGGTAAATGGTTTCACATGGGTTACGACTTATTGTTGAAAACTCAAAAACTGAACAAGTGTGTCGTGTGCCCAACGAAAAATTTAATTTCGTATTTTTTTATCCAAAGTTTCATTCGTCACTGCCCAGCATAATGAACAAAAAATTTTTATATGTGCTCATGTTAAACGAGAACGTTTTATTTTAAAGGGCATCTCCCACTGCATTTCATTGGCAATAACTTAGTTCTTTTGCTGTATCGCGTGTGTTCATAAGACTTTCAAATGTTTGCTAACCCGTACAAATAAAACGATCGAAAATAGACGCTAGCATATATATAAAAATGTTATTTAAATATATTAAATAATTTTGAAATGTTGTTGAAACATTCCATGTATGATTCCACGATTAAATGGTAGACTTCGGTTAATCGAAATAACATAATCTCAAAGCAAGCAATGAAAAAGAAAGGTAATAGGTAAGTAGACTCTGTACAGTATATTATTAAACAGTTTCGGGAGATTTGTGTAAATAATTCCAATTCAAGTGAAATGGGGTTTGAGTTGAGCACATATTCACACCCATTTACATTGCACGAGTGTAATTGTCTTCTTTTCGTTTTAGCTATTTATTTTTTGTTAAATATTTGCAATGAAATATTGGTTTAGGTTCTTCCGAAATTGATTGTTGACCAAGACGACCGTCTATGATGAAATATTTTACTTCTTTATATACAAGATCTTAACTGTCTGAAGTTTATTCGCATTCGGTTACTGAATTCGTATTGTAGGTGTCATTACTGTATCGTCAATTTATGTTATTAAATTGACAAGAAAGCAAGTTATTGCTTTTGTTTAATTTCTTCGGTCCAATGAACTGTATTTTGTATTTATTTTAATTGTGGCGATTTCGATTTTGAATTGTTTGTGTTACATTTATTGTTCTGCATATATTTCGAGCATCTAACGTACCATTAAGAAAAAATCGGCCCTCTTCTATACAAGAGTCTTAATAACTCGTTTATATAATAATGACAATCATAGCTTTCGTCTATCGCTTTTTCTGCTTTGCATGTATTTTTAAAGACAAAAGAAAATTTTTCTTAAGAATTGTAAAATATCTTAGGAACATTAAAATGTTATTTTTTTCATTACCCATTCCAGGCCCACCCTATGATACAATGTAATAAGAAGTTCATGTTGTGTGCAACATACCGAAGTCCTCATCACAAACGGTATAAATTATCGTTGCTCCTTCTTGAACATGGCAAGAGGCAAGATTCAATTAAGGTCCATTTAAACTTTGCGCAATTTCTTGAATTAATTTCGAACCTAATTTGAATCCGTTCACAATTATTGCACAATAGAAGCAATCTTGGAGAAAGAAATAAAAAATTTAAATTTTCAATCAAAACATGTATTCAGAAACTTCGTAATCTGATGTAGAGACTTGGTTTCTTGATCCCAGAATCAGATGATAAAGTGTTGCAACAAGAAAGATTTCATGACATTGATTAATACCAGACTTTTTTGTGAATGCATTCACGGCAAGGTAAATTAGTTTCGATATGTTTGCTTCATTATTCCCTACGTCCCTATTAAGTTTATGCACGCTATTGATTCAGAATTTCCTTATCTGTCTATAATGTCTGTCCATGTATCCTTGGGTTCAAGAATTTTCGAAATATTTTAATGAAATTTGATGAATCAATGTCTTTTGGTCCAAAGACAAACCCTAATAAAAATGGACTGGATCAAACTACTTTTTTGACCATTTATTTTGAGAAGTCATTATATGGAAA